AATTAACTGGATTAATGTTTCTTACCTCGTGCCTTCCTTTTCTTGAGCACTAATATAGGATCGGATCATTATCAGTTGATGAGATCTGGTGATTTTAACATGAGAACGTTGGGAAAAGCAAATTGGCAACACAACAGAGCACGTGCGAGACAGGAAAGGATGAAATTTTTAATAAGTTCATGTTGAAGTGTTCAATCAACCTGTATCTATCTATCTGCATAATAATAATCAATCAGATGATCAACATTAATGGGCAACAAGATTTTTCCTTTTAGCATATATATATACCGTGCCTTTCCAATTTAGCATTAGAATAATAGCACAATAACATGAGTATCAAAAAAAAGTAATAGTTCTTTATTAATTCGAAAAAGTAATGAATGGGTTTATTATTTTGCTTAATATTAAGATTTCTCTCATTAATTGATCGAAAAAGCAATAGTTCTTGTTAATATTAAAATCTATCAGTGGACATATTTACAAAAAAGGCTTTGATTCTTTCGGAAAAATTTGCTGTGCCAAAATAGTTTGTTTTCCTTGGACGCTCGCTGTCTGTTTATTCATTTAATAGAAGTGTGGCGTGTTCGGGATCCTTTTATCCAAACACGTTTACTCCCGCGTTAGCTTTTTTTTATTTCACATGGCAGCAAGTACGTATTTATTATACGTCAAATAGTGGATTGGATTTTTGGAAGTAAAAAGAAAACAAACATGAACAATGATTCTCGAATAATTAATTATTTTTATAGTCGACAATACTATATAATAAATTATTAATCAATTCAATATTTTATTAGACAGAGCGCCATGTTTCTTTTCTTTTTTTAAGTAATTTGTTTATATATAATAATAATGTCTTCTTTCAAAAAAAACTTTTTTCATTCGATTTATATTTTTAAGTTAGTATTAGTATTAGGGCATTATCCCAAAATCGGTCACAAGTTTTGCTGTTTAAAGGAAGGAGCTTTTTTTATTTTTATCCAGATGGTTGTTGGTAATTTTAATATTAATCTCGGCAACAAAGGTTCAGTGATAAAGTGGACCAAAAAAATTCAGTAGTGTAGCAAACAAATTGATTTAATATATTGATTGACTAGTCCACTTTTCAAGTATTTTGACGATAATTTTTTTTATTATTAGCAAATTATTTAAAATTAATAGTAAATAATATTAAATAAATTAATTAAAGGGTAAAAAAAGGAACGAAAATAAAAATAAAAAATTTACACCAATAATAAAAATTAATTAATTAATTAAAATGTAAAGGTGATTTGTAAATTCTTCAAATTTTTTTTTTTTTTGCAATGATTTACGCCTAAAAAAAAATTTATATTGATTATTAAAAAAGAAGGTAAAAAAGAGATAAAATAAAGAAATATGGGAACATCATAAATATTATGAATTATGATAATATAATAAAAAATATAAGCATGCCACTATTATTTTTTTTAATTAATTATTATTCTTTTCTATTATTATTATTATTTTTTTTTGTAGGTTTGCACCACCTCAGAGAAATCCTCACTATCGTCTAATTGTGGAAAATTTGTCTTCAAGCTGTAGCTGGCAGGTATGCAACTATCATCCAAAATCCAATCAATTGCCGCCTGCAGCTCCTGCTATTTGGCTGGCCTGAATTTTCTGGTGTTTTTTTTCTGCGAGATTCTTCATATTGGACTTGGTTGTGTATCTCTCCCTCCTATCCCTAATGCCCCCAATGGCTACTTAATTCAGCATAAAAATGTCATGGTGATTTCTACCATACATTTTCCTATATCACAATCTCTAAACAAGACTGGTAATTGGCTGTTTAAGAGCTGATTGGGGATTTTTTTTCTTTTCAAAAAATATGGTGTCTTTTGATAATTATTTACGATTTGTTTCATTAAAGGAAAGTGTTCATTAACGTTAAGAGGAGGGAAAATATTAATAATAATATAATCAGGAATGGAGAGAGTAGACACCGGTTTTACAAAATATGGAATCTTTTTGCTCGCCCTTATTTCCGATCTATGATTTGGGTTTCTATTTTCTATCTGCCTTTATGTGTGCCTGTTGTGTTCTATCACCAATCATCGTCATTGGATCTATTGGCTCTTGTTTCTTCCATTGGTTCTTCTCATATGGAATATTACAAGAGTCTAAGAGGGTCATCAGTGAAGAACATCGTCGTCCTTTTACCATATTCAACTCAAAACCTCCTTCCACTCCTACTCTCTTTATTGAATCTTTTTTTATTTAACATGATAAATATTTCACCCCGGATAAAAAATCATTGTATTTATAATCTGCACAAACTAGGATTTGTTCACCTAAAGTAAATTCATCAAGGTTAGAATATTTATGAATCAAATCGCAATTTTATCAGCAAGAATTACCTCTTTAAAGTAGGTATCGATATAATGTGAATGAAAGGACACTGTGTAGTCCTGATGTTCTTTGAGAATGTTAGCCTTGACAAGTTTGCGAAGCATGTTGAGAGGTATAATTGTTTTAGCTTGCTGAATGCCAATACGATGTATTTCGATAAGCTTTATGAAAAATTCATGGTTTTCAGGAAGTTCCACCATATCCAAATCTCTCTTAACCTGCGTGAACAGTTGCTCCTTGAATTCTGGTAAAAGTAGGAATGTTAGACCAAAACAAGCCATTTACATTAAGAAACTGAGATTGTAACAAATACATACCTTCAAACAAAATTTTAGGATATCGACTCAATGATTGGAACTGAGTCAATAAAGCAAACCGTCCACCGGTCAGGTATTTCACTGCATCTTCAGCAGTTTTTTGGTCAGTACCAGAATCTTTAAGTAATTTTACGGCTTCTTCATCTGAGATATCACCAACTTCTAAGGGAATAATTGCTCGCGACCAGGCAGAACGAGCTTTAAATAATAGGAATGAGATTTAGTAAGAACAACACAGTCATGTATAGCAGGATATTAAAATTATACCTTACATCGCATGAGTTGCAGGACCAAGCCTTCACTTGCGACAAATATAATGACAAATGCGTGTTTATCTGCGCAGTCCTTTGCAAAATCTTGGAGTATCCCAAGAAATTCTTGGTCCTTCTTAGCAATGCGGTCTACTTTGATCAAGAACCAAAACCATTGGGCGTTTATATTCTCGTCTGTAGCAAAAGG